TCACATCATTACGAGTTGACAGAATTCCAGCCGAAATATGCGAATCGGAGGATAATAATAAAGTTACACTGACTTCTACTCAGTTTACGTATTTAGTCTTAGGAACTACTGAGGAGGTCGTTCACATCTGCTAATATGGGTGTATGTGTGCGTGCGTCTATGTGACAGAGGAATCTAGAAAAGGGGAGATTTTTGTTACTTAACAATTTGATAATAAGATATTCAAATTTGTGCCAAGTTAAACTGTCGACACCACTAACTACCAATCAGCGAACGACGTTGAATTATCCAATGAGATTAACGAACGTAGTTCAATGTTGTGTAGCGTTTGATTCATTTCTAATGCGTGCCCTTACAAGGTTACGGTCGCAGTTGAAGGAGGACAGTGTTTTCCAGTATTGCCTGGATTTAGGGTTGCTTCGAAGGAGCGAACTTGTTCGTGTGATGGCATCATGACTTTAAAAGGCTATAGCAGATCAACTGATGGATTTGTTCATCGTTGTGCTATGTTTGAAGCGTGCTAGCATTAGAGGGGGTAAGCTGATAATTTTAATATTTCGTAAGAGCTTTTTTTGCTAGGTCGTATCTCTCCCTAACCCAGATTTTGTATATCTGCAACTACTAGGTGTTGAAACAGCCGATGAGAGCAGCAGCTGTCGAGACGGAGAATACCCTCGTCTCAACAGTTCAGTGGTATCAGCATTGCAGACATATTGCTTCGTGGAAAATGTGATTGGTCCGTTCAAGGTCGTTTGCTGATTGGTTGTTAGTGGTGTCGAAAGTTTAACTTTGCCCAAATCTGTTAATAATTTTTAAAACTAATTATGATAAAAATAATATTTAAATTAGTAGAAATTAAATTAGAATTTAATATTTATCCGGTTCACCTGACAGCAAGCTAACTGTTTTAATTATATATATATATATATATATATATATATATATATATATATCAGTTGACAGAAAATGATGTTAATATGAGAATGACCAGATTAGGCAACTTTTGTAAATATTAATTCACATTTGATGTATAGTAAACACGTGAGGTTTCACGAAGAAATGATAAAAAACTGAAATGTTATTGCTTAAGAATGCCATATCCACAAGACAGATAAGTAAGTACTGAAATTTGTATTAACTTCACTATTTCTTCAGTTAGTTATGCTGAACAGTGTACACAGTATATACCTTGGGAAAAAACGTCTCCTACAGAGCATAATTCATCATCCCTCGCCTTGCATAAAATATAGTAGTAAATTCGACGGATGAATTTGTGAATAATTATGCAATTATGCTTCATTTGGACGACAGGGTCTGAATGCAACTGCTGCTTTTTGGTGACTTCGAATACTTGTCATTCCAACACTTTTCTACACAGTAATTTTATCACCGAGAGTCTTTTACTATTCATCTTTCTTCCTGCCTCTACTTTCAATAATGCAAATGCTCCTGATTCTAAACACAAGCGTATGAAAACAGGATTAGTTTTTGTAAGCAGAAAGGAAGAAAATATGGGCACTGGGTTCGAGCCTCGGTGGGAACATCATCACTCACTGAGAAATGGAGGTACATCCAAATGATGAGTTCTAAATAGGACGAAATGCGCATCCTGGATTCCATTGCTAGTCACCATCCACCAATTAGAAAGGAAGAATGGTGGGAAATGTGTATACTGAAAAAATAGCTTGTTACTAGAAAAGAAAACGGTGTTTAGTGCTGTTATTTATTCCTCTTTGAAGTAGTTGCATAACACCTGTTTTTGGCTTCCTGACAATTATCAGGTTGAGAGCTAAGAAGATTGCAGTTAACCACCTACAGTACTTCAATACAAGATAGTATATGACTAACCACCCGAATTCCTTTCGCGCATTGAGAAGGAGAGGTGTGTTTTTCCAAGGATTAAGCGAATAGTGAAAGATTGAAGATATCTACATAATTAATTGAAATGATTACATCTTTACAAGAAGTGTGTTGTGACTGGTTAGCAAAGTAAAAATGAACACTAAGTGATACGGTATTCAACATCGGTTAAGGCTGAATGTTTACTCCACAGCTAAAAAAAATAATGATAAATATTATATCATCTGCTCCCCTTTTTAACAATCATGATAAGGTATTTTTTTCAACTGTTAGACCTTCCCCAGGCACCAAAATGAGTTAGAGGGATAATTAAAAACCAACGGGTGGATGCTTGTTGAAGGAATTGGTTAAAGCAGCAATATATGACCAGTTGAAAAATTTAGAATTTATGGATCAGTGAATTCCAGCCTGAGTGGGTGAATGGTCGTCAAGCTTGGTATCGTAACCTGAAAGCCGCAGGGTAGATCCTTGGCGGTGCGCACAACTGAAAAGTCCCAGACTAGTATGAAACAGCTATCCAATACTTCATAGTTTTTAATGATCTCTCTTCTAATGTACTCATCAATACATTGGCTTTAAAAAGCGAATATACGGCGATGAAAAGATTTGTAGGGAGAATATATGTCGCATAAGCGAGATTGTAGCGGAAGAACCAATTTAAAAGGTAATAAAATAATACTTAGGAAAAAAGCACATTGAGTATCCTTTTGATCGATTTCCTTTCGAATACATTTACTTGTAGTACAACCAAAGAAATCAATGAGGTAAAGAAACAACATTTACAAAGAATAGCCATAAGGAGGACTAAGTACTTGCTCGTCATAGGTATATAGACAGGTTTAACTCAACTGACAATAAGATGATATCGCGTGGCTGCTAGGTCTTAAGAGATGAATGATTGTAGTGTTGGGGGGAAGAGGGTAGCTTGATATTCCCAAGCTCATATTTATTTTGGGAATATAAATACATTAATTTGTGGATGGTGACTAGCAGTGGAATCCAGGATAAGACGCATTTCGTCCTATTTGTGACTCGTTAGCTGGATGTACATGCATTTCCCAGTGAGTGATGATGTTCCCACCGAGGCTCGAACCCAGTGCCCTTAGTTTCAAACACCAAAGTGTTATCCACTAAACCACTTGAATTTGTAGGTATAGGTACATATAGTTGACGAGCCCCATTTAGGATGGAAAAAGCATCTTGGATTCCATTGCTGGTTGCTATCAGAAAAATTAAATTACGATTTACTGTTCTCAGTAGTCAACTTTCAAGGCGTTTGAAACTATGGGCACTGGGTTCGAGCCTCGGTGGGAACATCATCACTCACTGGGAAATGCAGGTACATCCAGATGACGAGTCCAAAATGGGAAGAAATGCGTATACTGCATTCCACTGCTGGTCACCATCCACCAATTAAATACTAATTAAATCCCCAGATATCATCGAAGCATCTGGACAAGAAGCCGACATGTCAACCTGAGACCGAGCACACTTCGGTCAAATCAATCGACGGGAAAATCTCAAATTCAATTAAATATAAATACATTAGATTACAAAAATGTCCAGTAGAACACGATATTTATTACATGTTTAGGTGATAATCAAGTCAAAATTAGATCGCTTAACATTTTAGATATTACACAGCACAGTATTTACAGAAAAGATGGAAATAACAGAGTAGTTGATGAACAGACAAACAGTTTTTATATGATCATAGAACAAAGAAATTATAATTAGCATTTGCTTGTTTTTTGAGCAGGAAATTTGTGTCTTAGTAAATCTGCTTTATTTAATTTACAACTTGTCTATGACTGTTTGCTGTATATATATATATATATATATATATATTCAGTGGAATTCATTGCACAAAGTTTTCTACTCCTCCACAATCTTAAAGTAAAACAGTACTTGACAGAAGATCGCATATCACAGTGCTGTCTAACTTGAAGCATAAGCCAATCCCCTTATGATATTATTTCTTGGCCTCCTTCGAGTAATGCACGACATCTGTTCGACAGCTAATTAAAAATAAGCAGCAGTACATTTTGAGACCACAGGACATAACTGAGAGAGATTAAAGACTACAGGTGGTTAGCTTTATTTCTTGTACTAAAAATCTCAGGAACAGTTGTCTCATGTGTTGGGATACGTTGCCACCCAGGATTCTGCTTTTTCTCAGGTCTAGTATAAAATTTGCGAATCAGCCTATGGCTAATATTTTAAATACTCGCGAGAGTACACAATATCATTAGAAGTCATATTTTAACAGATTCAAACAAGGTGAACAATAGAGAAATTATATGCTATACGGTGATGACACTTTTGGTGGCTCAAGATTGAATGTAAGAGCTAACTGGGTCTTATAATCCAGCTGCTAGAGTACCACACCAGTAAGTAGTCTGAAGGCTACTGATTCGATCCAGCTTCTCATTTCACCTTCATTGATCATGTACCGCACAGTAAGATTGTCTAAAATAACTAAACAAGAACTTTAAGACTTCATTCTAGCTACTGACCAGATCTGCTTGATTCATTAAAAATAATAACGTTATGCATTCATATTAAATACAGCAAACAAGTTAGCATACAAAAGACTAACAAATAAAAGTAGAACATACAAAAAAGAATAAATATGATAGAGAAGATTTGTAGCTCAGGTGGATGATTTTGATGTGGTTGTGTTCTCTAAGCTGGATGGTTAATTTGCGAAGCTTTCATCACCCTACTGGGTGACATCTTCAGCGCATACTTCAATTTGAAGTGAGCTTTTAGATTTCTCCACGAGTTTATTAATCATCTCTCCTGGCGACCTTGGACGTGATTGGTTGTTTATGTGTGTTTTCACACCTTCTAGGTTACCAACCAATCACGTCCAAGGTCACCAGGAGAGATGATTAATAAACTCGTGGAGAAATCTAAAAGCTCACTTCAACAGACTGAAGTATGCGCTGAAGATGTCGCCTAGTGGAGAGCGATGAAAGCTTCGCAAATTAACTATCCAGCTCAGAGAACACAACCACATCAAAAAAAATAATAACTTCATTTTAAACAACAAAAATCTCAAGAATTGATCATAGGAGTAAAAAAGAACCCCTAAAAACATTAAAAGGATGATACATTCAGACAAATATTATGCTCACTTTTCTCCAACATTATTGGTGGATTGTAAACTAAACTTGTTTGACTCCAGTAGAGTGGTACAGATCCACGACATTGAAGAAATGCAACAGTATGCGGAAAGTCGTCAATATTAGTGTGTAGAATCTGTACACAAAAAAAGCATCAAATTAACACATTAATTTATATGTAGATAGGTAAATTAAATACTATGTTTGCGGACTTAGTAAACAGAGAAAAATATTGGCCGGATAAATTGAATGGGAAAAATTATTACTGCAGGAAAATTAGATCACTGGCTATTCAGCTGCTTCCACTCTCAAAACTGAACTGGTAAAAGTGATAATGGAAGTGAAAAAAAAACCAAATTCATTTTAGGCTGAGAGGCAATCACTTATAGGGTTTTAGAAAAGCACAACTCTTTATCTAAATATTGATGACAACAATAGTGTATAACTGGAATTGAATGTAAAATGATAGAGTTAAGTCAGAACACAAACGTATATGGCAAAATAAGTCTACCATATATTATTAGAATTACAATTTTCATATATCGTCAGTACTGTGCTTCTTTGTCGTCCTTTGATGTTTTTCGCATTGTTTTGCAAGCACTGTTCATTTCTTCTCATCCCCGTTAAAAACATCTGTCCGAAATTCTATATGACATACATATTTATATCCATACATATATACTACTTATAAACCTTGTCAGTAGCACACGTAACAATAGTGATTACCAATCCCATTTGAGGGACTAAAAAATGGTTGGAATCATATTGAGAAACAGGTTTAACTTCGAATTTCGACTATTATTATTGCTCTTCTAAAGAAAGCCCGATCGAGATAAACTTCACAAGATGATGACTATAACCCATAGAAACTATGCAAGCGATCCTTTAGTGAACACGAGTTTAGCAAAGAAGCTTATCTAATATGAAAGAATTTCTTTCATTTCCATGGAGAATTTGTTTCTAGCCTTCATAAATGTGGAGGTATTAACTGTTGGAATTTCGAAACTTAACAAAAAGACAAAGATTATAATTTACCACTTCTTATGCTGATGAAACCTACTGTAAGCACAAACTCATAACATACTTCACTGTTAACCGAAACTATTCATATCACAAACACATAGTTCAAGATGGTAAACTGTGAACTAACATTTCAAGTTAGAATTCATGGGTCATTGGTTTCCAATGCAAGTGGCTGAATGGTCAGCCAGCTTGGTCGTGTAACCTTAATATGTTTAGTTCCATTCCTGGTAAGGTAGTGGGCGTGAACTGCTAAAAAGTCGCAAATTACGACAAAACAGCTATCTAGTTTTTTATGGTTTCCAATGATCGCCTGACTGATGTCAGTTCATGCTGAAATCTACATTGGAATTAGTTCAGATCCCTAGAAAAACTCATAATCTAAATGATAATTCAGTGTTTAAACGCTGGATGTTGACCAGGAGTATAGTTTACTGTTCAGAGGGTGGTTGATAGTTTTCAGCCCTACTTGGATTTCAAAAGAGACAAAGCTACATACGGCTTTTCACAAGGAATGTTTCTAGTCATTTTTACTGATAAGCACTAACAAAAACAAAATGTAGACTAAGCCATTCACACATTTATCACCAATCATTATGGAACACAAAAACGTGTGATAGTTCAAATTCAATCTTCATGATCATTACGGTTTTTTATTAGGGATAAACAGTACTATGTAAAATCTATTGTTATGCAGTAAGTGATTTATATAAGCAGCCGAAGCATGTAGCCAGATGTTGACGATTTGAACAGATCAGTAGTAGAGTAGGTTAACACATTTTATTCCCGAATAACACAACAACAGTATATATAAACTTAATTTACCTAAGATCCTACATTGGTGAATGCTACTTATAATCAGATATAAGTAGTATATTAGTAAACGAATTCAGGAAAGTAACAATATATTTTGGGCACTGGAAACAAAGCAGTCGAAGAAGAAAACTGTGAGAAGAACGTTACAAACACTGTACAGAATCCAACAAACTATTGCATGTGGTGATAATCAACGAATTTCCAAATAGTGTGCAAATATAGACTTATATATCAGGTATACCAAATTAATGTACCTGCAACGCATTTGTCCTAACTAATATAGCCTTCAAGCCTTATCTGTCTTTTTTTCTTTACGCTACTAATGTCAAATAACTGATCATATGACAAATAAAATGCTAAGCGCTAACCTTATACTTTTACTGTTTTTATGCTTATGGATATTGCTTATAAACGAGCGAAAATGATGTTGAGATATCTTTGAATTTGTAGATAATCCATAGATATATAAAAAAAATGTTTGAAATAGATAATCAACAGGAGCTAGGCAGGATATTTTGCAGTATATACATACATGTGACAACTTCTTTCCCTGATTAAACTTTATAATCCACTCTTTCCTTAACGTCAATAAATGTAAATAATAGTGTTTTGAGATGATAATCCTTCTGTGTGCATGATGAAATGATTATCACCAAAATCTTATATACTTTATATTCATATAAAAGTAAATATTATAATTCCTATTTTGATTTCTAGTTAAATCTCATATGGGATTCTTTCTACTATAATATTGTGTTTAATATAAAACAAAACATATCAGGAAGTGAATGAATGATCTCAGCTTTCTTTATTATTATTATTTTTTTTTATTATTCTCCACTGTCAGAAGTAGAAAAAACCCACAAGTAGGAATTTACTCTTAAATTCATTAAAAAAAAGAATAATGAGCAAGACGATGAAGAAAGTGTTGTTCTTTCTCAAGGAGGAGGAGGACGAGGGATGACAGCAGAGGATAACTTTTAATAACACTAAGGATTAATGTATTCTTCTCATAAGAAGTTGATAGTCTCAGAAGATGATTACTCTATATAATTCTATTTTAATGATAAAAGATAAAAATGTGTAAAGTCAAAGTCAGGAGTAGAAAATAGCCCCACAGAATGATAATTACTCGCATCGATGGAGAGGTCATTTGGCAACTACTTCGCTACTACGGGGTCCCATCGACAATTATACATCTCATCCAACAGTTATACGACAATGCTGCATGCCAAGTAATCCACAACGGGAAACTTACGGAAGCCTTCGAAGTGAGGACGGGAGTGAGACAAGCCTGGCTGTCTACTATCGCCAATGATCTTCCTGATTGCAGTAGATTCAATAATGCAACAGACAGCGGCGGGCAATGGGGAAACAGGTATAAAATGGACTCACACAAAAAACTTGGAGGATCTGGACTTCGTTGATGATGACATATGTCTGATTTCCCACAAACTGGAAGATATGCAAGTGAAAAGCAACAAGCTGGCAGAACAAGCATCAAAGATAGGACTTACTTCAGATGAAAATAGATAAAACATAGGTGATGAAGATTCCTGGCCAACACCAGCAGCCACAGCATCAACAATAGACAACAATCAGCCAGAATAAATGGGAGGGACCTGAAAGAAACAACCTCCTTCACTTACTCTACCTGGGAAGCATCGTTTCAACTACAGGCCCACGGAACTGACGAGGATATCAAAGCCAGAATCGGAAAAGCAAGACAAGCTTTCACTACTCTTACGTCTGTGTGGAGGTCAACATCACTCAGAATCAAAAATAACATCCGGATTTTCAACTTTAATGTGAAGTCAGTGCTATTCACTATACGGATAAGAGACTTGCACTGCGCGTCATAAAGAGCATCTCAAACAAACTACAAACTTTCACTAACAGCTGTCTCCGCTCAATACTCAAGATCAGATGGCCAGCCAGAAAATATCAGAAACAGGGATCTCTGGGAGCAAACCAACCAACCAGGAACCGATTGTGAAACAAATAAGCAGGAAGAAATGGAGATGGATTGGCTGGCCATAGTCTGAGGAAACCATCCAGTGATATCACTAGACAAGCCATCGCTCTAGTGGAACCCGACTGAAAGGGGAGCGGCGAGTTGGTCGTCAGTGCAAGGGTGACTTGGAGGAGGTCATGTGAGGAGGAGATGAAAGCATGTGGGCAGACTTGGGGCGGAGTGAAAAAGTTGGCAGAAAACAGAAGGCAATGGAGACTTGGGCGGCTGAAGCCCTATGTTCCTCTAGGAATTAAAGGATATAATAATATGTGTTAAAGGAGTGGGTGAACAATCAATCCGAACGTTTGTTACGAAAAATATAACTCCGAGTTTTGTGGGAAAATAGATTGACCAATTGACCTGTGAAAAATTAATCAAATCAACCCTACTGACTGTAATTATTTTCAAAACAGGGAAATGCTTTATCATAATTATGAGTTGGTATATTCCCTTAAAGGTTCAGGAAATAGAAATCATAAATCATTAAATTACATGTTTCTTTTCTAAAGTTTCTTCTTCAACTTACCTTCACTTACAAAGAAAATATGTTCGGAAGAAATGAAGAGAAACACTTAAAATCAAAAATAAAGACAACTACTTGTTTATAAGTGAAGTTCTCTACAGTTAGTCTTTAGGGTAGGAGATTGTTAAATCAAAGTCTTACAACTGCTCCTTTTCTTAGTTAAAGATTAGTGATGATTAGAGGATAAGTTGATTCTTACTCACACACACTCCGTGAAACCAATATTACTCATGGAGATACAAGTTTGTCCACCTAATCAATTTGAAGAGTGGTAGAAAAAAAAGTGTGTTTCTTGATTTCCACAAATAGTCACTGATAAAACACGAGCTACACATAATATGAAGGTATTGATACATTCCGTTGAGTATAATAAAACACGCATCTATGGTGCAGCAGCAGTAGACGTGTGAGGTCCGGGTTCGATTCTCGGTCGATGCACTTCCAAACCTTATCCTGTTTACTAACCGACAGTAAGCCTGGAAAAGAGGGGAGGTTGAGAACGAGATGAGGTCTGTCTGGATTCAACATAGAACTTGGAACCGAAGTGTAGCAGCTCGAGTTGCCACGTTCCAAATAGCACACAGAGGTAGACAAGAAGATGAGTGAAGAGAATCAATAGAGTTTGACAAGTATGAAAGTGAAACAGAATGGGTAATGGTAGAAAGGAATATGAAAGATTACAGAGACTGAATACATCTGCACTGGCCATTGACAACGATTTTGAGCCATGTCACCTATTGTCTCCAGCCTTTGATTCCTAGAGTCCCGAGGGCCCCAACCAGTCAGGAAGTCTGCATCTCCCTACCTGACTGACTCAGTTTAACTGTCAAGGATTTCATGGATTGATGAGGCCATGTTTTTGTTTGGCCACCACTGGCTCTTTTCCAACCTTCACCTATATCAGCTAGCAATGCCCGTCGGGGGAGGCGGTGGTTAGGCATGCGCAGCACGTGACCTAGCCATCTTAGTCTATGTAACTTTATAGCCTCGTCGATTGATTTTCCCTCTTTGCCCAACACTCTACGCCTAACGTCAACATTACTTACCTTATTAAACCACCTAACGTGAGAAAGAGATCGTAGACATCTATGATCGAAAGCAGTCAACCTTTCAATGTCTTCAACTCGTATTGGCCATGTTTCAGAGCCATAGAGAAGGATGGAGCGAACTGCTGAGCAGTACACACGTCCCTTGGTTGATAACCGGATGAGATGAGAAACACCATTTCGCAAAAGACAATATCAGTGCTGAAATTTCAAAACTTGAAGCTCTATACTCAACTCGGAACGCAAGCAATGAATGCTAAAAGTAATAACAAATATCTGCTGCAAAATAAGTGGTTCTCATAATTCATGGGATTAGTGGCGTTGGTTAAACGTTAGAATTCCTGGATTGCGATCGCATTAGGCATGCTAAAGGTATTTATTCTAGAATGTTCAAAATTAATGTTGAAGGTCAGATGCAAAACTAAATCAGTGTCTATCTACAGCTAAAGGGCTTTATGCGATAGTAGAAAAAGATTTAATTCAGAGGAGTGGAGTTTGGGTTACACATATATGAAATTACACTAGCTCAAGTTACTTTATTCCAGAAGGGAGCCGATACTATGTAAGTTAAGGAATCGTTAAAAACCACTTGATGACTAATTTTCAAAGTAATGTAGTATTGTTACTTTATTTTGAAGCATTGTAGCAAAATGATGTTGTTTAAAGCCTCAATTAGTAATGTGGACTAAACAATCAACCAGTAACTCAATATTGTCTACAAACCATTGGGATAAGTCCGCTTTATTGTTTTTAAATACATTACCAGAAAGATTTATTGCAAAATCTATGAATCCTAGACCACAAAAGCCGCCCATGCTTAGCGTCCCAAAAAAACTACTCTACATGAACCTACAATTCAATGGAAATATATCTGCGGAAACACTAGAAAGTCGACTGTCGCGCTCACTCAAGAAGACCTTCTTCACAGCTGAACTACGACTAACCTTCTTCACAAAACCTATGATTCATGTGAACGTGAAGGATAAGCTACCACTGCTGGCCTCATCAATGTGTATTTATCAATTCACCTGCTCGTGTGTAACCAGGTATGTCGGTTGTACATAGCGTTTGCTTTCGAAACGTATCACGGAACACTTACCAACATGGTTTTACAAAGGAGAAAAACGATGTCCCCGCAGCTCCATATTAGAACATCTGATAGAATCCGGACATCAAGCTACACCCCGAACAAAATTCAAAGTCGTCTACAGAGTAAGAAGTAATCTTTCTAAAGGTGTACGAATCAGACTTCTTCAAACTGCAGGAGCAATGGCGATTCACTTGCTAAGCCCTGAACTCTGCATACACAAGAAGTTGGTTCAATCACTGCACTTGCAATGGACTTAATCTATCTTATTACTCGAGAAGTAAATTCTACCTAATCAATTTTTCTGTCTCTTCATTAGTATTATTTCGTCTTCTCAATTGTAATATTTTGCATTTTCAACTTCCTTGTTGTCTACCCCCACCCGATTTAATTTCTATACCTCACTACCACTGTTATTGACTTGAACAATGCTCAATTTCTAGTCATTTATGTTACGTCATCCAACTTAATTGTTCAATTTCAGTTCTAATTTAAATGGTATTATTCTCTACCCCACTTCTACTTAGTCTCTACCTGTGATTACCTCTGTTGCTACCGCGTCATCTAACTTACTAACTCAATCTTACTTTGGTTGCTGTCTAATTAACCTTGTTTCTATATTAGATAATTCTTGTATTACCTGATCAATTATCTAAACTTGACAAACCTCATGTACACACACACAAATAATTATATATAAATGCGATTGTACAGATATGTGAATGAATTCACCGAAAAGAGTCTCTTCACTGAACATTTTCCCTTTTTCGTATGACTCAATGGGGATTTTCAAGCTACTACCACTTTTAAATGTAGCTTGCGAAATGCAACACACATGGAGTATTCAGTAGATTCATATTCACGATCTAAAGAACATATCTCAGAAAAACTCCAATACTTGACAATATTCTTCATCATATTGTTACTGATAAGATTTATCAGTAGTATATAAAGAGACATTCATTGGCATAAAGACATCAAATAGCAGGGAGATAAATTTGATTTCAGATAAGGCAAATGATACAGCGTTGTGGAGGTGCATAGGAGCCGTGAAAGGAACACAAAGAAACACAACATGGAGATTTGTACAAACGGTGCATTGAAGATTACGTATACATAATCTGGCTATATGTAGAGATACCAATTTCCTATGTAAACATTCCCTTACCAAGTCTATCGTCTTCTACTATTTCAATATGATTAATTAGAATACTCTAGGGTACACTTCAGTGATACAGCGGTTAGGACGCTCGTCGACCATGCACATGGCCCGAAGATCGATTCCCGGCCACCGACGCACTCCTTTACCTCGCTGAGCCAGTGTAGTAAGACTGGCAAAGAGGGAAGGTTGAGCATGAGGCCAGTAACCCCATCTCGTAAAAACAAACACCACTGCTACCGAAACTTCAAGCCTCTGCCTTGAAGCCCTATGTTCTACTGGGGACGCAAAGGAATGAAAAAAGGTACACTTCAAAAAGTTATATGTAGAAGAGAAATCACACGGAATAGTACTTACTTGTTCTGTTTCAACATAATTAGCCACATATCCATCAACATCGATTCCACGACGTCTATAACGTGTACCTAAAAAAGTGGTTTAGAAACCAAAAGATACAAAATGTATCTTTATTTTATAGTAATAGCATACGAAGAGACATTTCAATGAATATGTTTAGTTGAATAGCAATTAATTACTGGGTTGGAAAATTAAAAAGAAAAAGTTGTTTTAACACAGTAAACTGAGTAGTAATTACATGTTACGATAAAAGAATTTTCACATTTAACCAACCACTCTAAAATGTCGACATATGATGTATAAAGGCGATTTATCTAGGGATTTGTAGCGAAAATAAGATGGGTAACTTGTAAAGATTAAGTTTTTCTGATAATTTATACTTTTAGAGCATTGTATTCACGCAATGCAACTACAAAATTTGGGGCTAGATGCAAAGTAATAGGTGAGGAAGATAAATAAATCGATAAAGTCCTGAGTCTTTACCGAATGAGGTGGTTGTGACATGTCCCACAAAGTTAGAATCATTCTTTACACGCACAATTTGGAACGGAGCAAGACTGACTATAATAATAATAATAATAATAATAATAATAAAATAAGACACCGAAAAATAAAGCCAATAACTGTCGACTGTTATCCTGTGAAGAGGTCCAAGTGGGCCGATTGGAGTCCATGAGACATTAAGAAGTACAAATTCAACAACTCTAAAGATAAATTATACCATCTGACCCCTTCTATGTGTATATAGCAATTTAGATGCTCATGTGGAGCGAGATAAATAGGTCTTTCGATGCGTGTTTTAGCTATATATGGCATTAATTGTTTTACCACTTCATATGGAACTATGATTATAATCACAAATATCCTAATTGCAATTCATACTACTATCATTTTATGTAGCTGAAAGTGTCAAAGAACATTATCCCACTTGGCTACCAAAAGGTATCAGTGGATCAATAAGGAGTCCTATAGTTGAACATACATTCGACACTGATCACTCAATATGTTAGGAGAATTCATTCAAAGTCATTTACAAAGTGAAAAGAAGCCTCCTGAAAACGATAAGCTTTCGTATACTTTGCACATTACCGAGGCCTTAGAGATCTGGATAGGAAACCCTGACTTCTATTCACAGGAACTTCTATATCTTCTGCTTTTATCCTGGATATAATTCCAAGTTCTACTACTTTATTACCAATAGTATTTGTGGATTTTCTGCAGAGCATTTTAGTAACATCTTTTTCTTGACTAACCCTTTGTTTACTCTTTCTACATACTACATCATTTATTTTAGACACCAAGCCCTCCAAGCTCTTTCATTAACATCCTTCTTTTCTGGATGTCTTTCATATTACATAACCTTTGTCAATACTTACTAACCTTCACCCCACCCCCCGTCCCCTTGTTGCAATTTGATTATACATCATATTTCTTGAAACATTTTGATGACGTTAACAATGACCTTGGTCAATTTTTTTTTCTTGTCTTATAAATCTAATGTACACACACACAGACAAAAATAATTATATATAATTGCGATTGTACAGACAAGTGAATGAATTCGCTGAAAAGAGAACCTACGCTGAATTGTTTGTTCTTATATACTAAGATGTCATGTTTTGGTTATCATATATATATATATAACCACTCGCCAAGTGGAACCCAAAAGGGAAACGGCGATTGGGACGTCAGTGCAAGGGTGACATGGAGGAGATCGTGTGAAGAGGAGTTGAAAGAGTATGGACTAACAAGGATGCAGGTGAAAAGTACAGCAGAAGCAAGTGGAGACGTGCAGTTGAAGCCCTACGTTCAACTAGGAACCCAAGGGAGCAATAATAATAATATTATATATATATATAATTATTTTATTCCTTTGAGTTGAGAATGGAACATAAAGCTCCAAGCTTTGAAGTTTGAGTAGCAGTGGTGTTATTCTGTTTTATGGGTGACTGCGGTGAGGTTACTGGTCTCACGCCACAACCTTCCATCTTTGCCAGGCTTACTAACAGATAAGCAAGGTTTAGGAGTGCAACAGCCGAGAATCAAACCTTGGACCAGATGAGTGATTGACAATACCTTATTCAGTAATAAGATAGAGTTATTCATATCACTAGTAGTATGTGAGCACTGTGGCAGAACACAGTTTCATTTTAGATAGGTTTAACTAATGTAACAATAAACGATACAACAGCAAAAACTCGGTGATATTTCCACTACAATTTACTCCTTGAAATCACAGGACTTCGTAACCTGTTTCAAATATTGTTTTATTTACACCTCCCCCCCACCACCTACATCTATTTATTAATACCATCAACAGCATGAGCTTGATATTGATTTGATGAAAAAAGATTAAGTATGATTGAACCATCTCTCCCTCCTGCTAACCATATTACTTAGATCACCCTACTGCGTGACTACACGCAAGTACAAGTGTAGCAATGATCGCATCTTTTCATACTACATCTAGTTGTAATCCCAGCTGATCCCAGCCTGCTTTTTTGACCTACGATAATTATTTATATTACTCCTATTTTTCTTTTGGATCCTCATGAATTTTTCAACCAGTTATAGTAAGTAGTTATTATTCAGCAGTAATAATTTCCTTGTACATAAGAAATCTTTATTAAAATTTTCCAACTCACTAATCAAACATCTGTTCTGATTGCACTACAGACTATAGGCTGGGCGACTCAAAACAGACGTACTTATCAGAAAGTGACAGCTCTTTTTTTTATCGATTCTAGTATCTAAACCCAATGTTCTTTTGATTTTATCCTGACATATAGCATAGACAGTTTGCCCTGTTGATTTTCTAAACTCGAAACTGAACTGGATTCCATCTGTTACTGAATTTCTATCTGTAGATAAGTTGCTTCAAAGTTCAACAGAAAAATCATGTCTGTCTTTAAAAACTACTTTTGAAGAATCACCCTTGAATAAACTGCTCAGCCAGAACGCGAAAGACAAGCTGTCACATTGGGCCACCTCAACGTACATATACCAGTTTACTTGCTCTTGTGGAGCTGAGTACGTTGATCGTACCATGCACCGACTTGAAGAACACACTCGTGAACACTACCCAGTCTGGTTAGTAAAAGGAGACCAAAAGCGTGTATACAGTTCAGTGACAGAACATCTGGTCAATTCAGGACATTCAGCGCCTTTTGAAAAATCCTTCAAAGTAATATACAAGATCCTATCATCAAACCTATCAAAGGGAGTGAAATCAAGACATCTGGGTATAACTGAGGCACTAGCTATGCAAAAGCTCAAACCCACGCTTTGTATCCAAAAGAAATACGTCCAACCCCTATCCTTGCCATGGCCATCATAAACAGGTAATTTTTTTAGTAATGACCATCCCATCGCCTTTCTTATCTAAACTTCCTGTTTATTCATGTTATTTTTTAAAGTTTTTCTTAATCCCTGTTCACACTACCATATTTTCATGCCCAAACTTCGTGTTTATTTTGTCATTTTACTATTTCTACATATTTAATCCCTGACTGCATAAACAATTATTCATCACATTAGTTTTTTTATCCAAACATCCTGTCTATTTTGTTATTTCTACATTCCTAACCCCTAATTGCACAATGTCAATCTTCTTGGTCATTATGATGCTACTTTGTTTGAGTTTTATCCGTCGCCCTGTTTATTATGGCATTCTAATTCATGATTTTAATTTATATTAATTTGACCCTTAACGGGAAATTATTCTGGAACTTTTCCATCCATTTGATATAAATACACGAATGTACAGCTGTCTAGTTGATGACTTCGTCGAAAAGAAAATTTTTTTCGCTGCAATTGTCACTCTTAAATATACATATAACATATTCTTTCGAGACTAAGTTTCAGTCTATTCTCGACCAACCAGTTCTTATGATCCCTTCTTGAAGCATTTTTATTTCGCCGTATATGTCAGCTATGGACAATAAGAAATGAACTGTATTCCTGCTCACACTGATTAGGATTCAGACATGAAGACTGATGCATTGTTCATACCCTGTCTACATCCTGTGAACTGATATTTAAAAGAGGGGGATTGGTTTCATTTTCAAATTTTAAAAAAATATCGAAAACGTGAAATTCCCTCGAATAAGCAGGTGAACTTGACTGGATGATGACAACTACTCAAGCTTTCTTATTATGACACCCTATCAGTATATGCATATCATATGTGATGAATGTATCATACAGCTACTTTTTTAACCATGAAACGGTATTTTCATACATTTGGTTCCTTTGATAAATTTCGATAAAGAAAGGAAGACGAAATTTGCAGTATAAAATGATATCATTCTATTTCACAGGTTCTCATCAGCTGCAGACTACCTGAAATTACAATGGTTATATAGATGATAATAACATACTTCAGTGTTCGAGTGGTGGTAGAAAAGAGATACTATAAAATTGACGCATCTAAATGAAAGCATTACAATGTTTTTAGTTTAAGTTTTCATCATCAATTTATACGCTTTTAAAGTTGAAAAGAGGGGGAGGGGTAAGACAGAAAACAGAAAAAATTGATTAACAGAACAGTGTTAGCTTGTAGGTTCACATAGCAACTCAAGAAACAAAAACGGTTACAGTTTATGAGATTAAGATTTGTTCAGTGAGTTGAGATCACTGAATTAGATGACTAATCAAAAGCGTATAAATTGATGATGAAAACATAAACTAAAAACATTGTAATGCTTTCATTTAGATGCGTCAATCTTATCTCTTTTCTACCACCACTCGAACACTAAAGTATGTTATTATCATCTATATAACCATTGTAATTTTAGGTAGTCTGCAGCTGATGAGAACCTGTGAAATAGAATGATATCATTTTATACTGCAAATTTCGTCTTCCTTTCTTTATCGAAACGGTATTTTCTAGTTTTATTATGAGAAAATCAGAAAGTAAAGAGTACCACTATCTGTTGCGCTCATACTTTATATCACAGAATTTGAACTAAATGCTCAGACAAGAGTTTCTTTTTCCTGACAGTGATTTCAAACACTCTCAAAATTGTTACCTTTAAGAGTGAAGCGAATAGTTGCTGTGAGAAAAAAA